GTTTCAGTAAAATACTTGATTAGCTAAATTAAACTCTAATAACTTCTACTGTAAAAATAATATTCTGACATCTAATCTTCTTAGAAGAGACACTTACTGGTCTATACACCTCATGATTATCAGACTGAATAACTACTAAACCTCCTTCTGTGTAACTTGAATCAACTTACAGAAGGCTTTGGGGGCATGTGTGGTGGACCACTGGAGGAGGGCTCCACTCACACCCAGTTCTCAGGAAGTGTTGTTGCTGTGTTTTGGAGGGGAAAGTATTCAGTTGTGTGGTGATGAGTAATAAACGAGCAGTGTTAATCGAGAGCTCTCGTGTCGTCTGTGTTTACCTCCACATTATAATATTTTTAGGTCAAGGTAATGTAAACGCAAGACTAGTAGCAGATGCCATGTTGGATGCAGTGATTGATGTGATGAGCCAAAACTCTTCCGGTCCCCTGACCACAATCCGCATAGTTATTTTCCAGAAAGCTATGCTAAAAGATTTCCACAGCAGCCTGGAACAGAGAGAAGCTACTTATCCTAATCCTAAGGATAAAGGACGGGGAACCTGGGGAGGCATTGGCATTGGCAAAGTCCAAGGTAAAAATATGTAGAAGAAAAATCCAGTACTGTTCTGCTGTCTCCAGTCAATGTTGAACCTTAACTTCTAATGGTTTTGAAATTTGGTTTTTCAGGAATGTTTACTGATGGAAATACTGAAAAACCAAAGAAAGAGAAAGACTGCACAACTGAAGGTCAGAAAGCTGATGCCACTTGCTTCCATATTTGTGGTGTCACTCAGGCTGATGTAGATACAGCCAAGAAACTATTGTTTCAAGAACCTGAGACCACCACAATTGAGGACGAAGCCATTGGTAAACTCTGTGATGCAGACCACCAGAAAATTGATGACATGGAGAAGACCATGGGTATAAGCATAAAAATAGAAAACAGTAAAGTCAAGCTCACTATTGAAGGACTGAGCAATGATGTGCTTAAAGCTACCTCTGAGATCAATATGATGCTAAGCAGGAAAAGAGAGGGTATTCCTGAGCAGTGGGAATACATGCCAGCTGAGGCCACATGTCAGGCTTTTGCAGTACAAGCCAAGACATCAGAATATGATGAAATCCTGAAACATTTTCAGGCCTCATGCAGTGGATTTGTTACAAAGGTAACATTTGTTATTTATCACTCAGATCATTAGAGCAAAAGGTTTTTGGTGAATGGATCATCAAATTGATACTGACTAATCATTTCTAGATTTAAATTAAAATGTATTTTCATGCATCTGTTCAAGTCTTTGTGCAGTCAAACCATTATGAAGTTAGTGTTAAACATTTTTTAAACCTTTTTTTAAAAAGTTTGTTTCACAATAAAGCCAATAAAAGCAGTAAACATAAATCTACATCAGACTACACAAAAAAGCACTTTTCTTCCTCTCAGATTGAGCGGATCCAGAACCCTGGATTGTGGAAGAGTCTAGAGATTAAGAAGCGTGAGATGGAGTTGAGAAATGGTCATCAGAATAACGAGAGACGTCTTTTCCATGGTACCTGCGACGGAGCTGTGCCAAATATTAATGACCGTGGGTTCAACAGGAGCTATGCAGGAAAGAATGGTGAGATATTTGTGGGTGGGGGATGTGTCAGTGTGCCAATTGCTGTTTTCAGTTTGATCTTAATGCTACCGAGAGTTACAGAGTTGGCCATAAACACACTTTTTCAAAATCAGCTTTAGACTACAGAAAGAATGGAATACACAGGATGTGGAGAAAACTTGCACAAGGAGCAATGCTGATAATAAATATTTTAGAAGACAGTGAGAGGCAATAAAAGGTGGGAATGCGGA